GGTGGGGGTTTTGGTCCCTGCACCTACGTTCTTCGCACTGGCGACCGCGCTGGAGAGCAGTGTGGGGGTACCTACACCGCCCAGCGCTGCTTTGGCCGCCTGACGGACGCTTGGCGCCAGCAGTTCCCGGAGGCCGCGGAGATCCCCCGCTGGGGAGAGCTGTCTAGGGCTGGTGTAGCTATCTTTGATCTTGACTTTGATGCTATCCTTGCTGCCATGTATGCTGTGACCATTAGTGATGAGGGTGACTGTGATCGGTGTTTCCCGCCCGACCCGGGCATTGCTACTGCTGCTCTAGGTGCCAGCGAGGCTTCTGCTCTAGGTGCCAGTGCGTCTGTGCTCTCAGGTACTGGTGAGGCTGCTCTCTCAGGTACCAGTGAGTCTGCGCTCTCAGGTACTGCGTCGGCTTCGGCCTCCCACACCTTCACCCTTGACTCTGGAGCGTCTCGCTCCTTCTTTCGGGACCGCACCACACTCACGCCGCTTAGTCGGCCGGTTGCGGTGTCCCTGGCTGACCCCTCTGGAGGTCCTGTTCTGTCTCGCTTCTCCACAGGCCTCCCGTGTCCGGCGACTCCCTCTGACACCCTGCTTGGTCTCTACCTCCCCTCGTTCTCTACGAACTTGGTGAGTGGTGGTGACCTACAGGATGCGGGAGTCCACCAGTTCACCCCTGCTCATCAGCGCGCGACGCACTGCACAGAGGCTAGCACAGGTCGTCACCTGGCTACGTTTACACGTCAGCCAGGGTCGAGCCTATACACACTGACCACTGCTTCTCCTCCAGTTCCTACGTCTGGTAGGGTCCCTTCGTCAGGTCAGGTGTATGCTGCAGCGTCCAGGTCTGGTCCTGAGTGTGCCCCCTGTTCGTGTCGTCCCCTGTCTCACGAGACTCTCCTCTGGCACCATTGCCTGGGTCACCCCTCTCTTCTTCGGCTCAGAGGCATGGCCTCCCGTCTTCTTGTGTCTGGTCTTCCCCGGTCCCTCCCTCCCCTTCCTCAGGGCCCTGGCCCTGCCTGTGTCCCCTGTGTCGAGGGGCGCCAGCGTGCTGCCCCTCACTCCTCCCAGTTTCCTCCGACAGAGGCTCCGTTGCAGACGCTTCACATGGACGTGTAGGGCCCTGCCCGCGTCCGTGGACTCGGTCACGAGCGCTACTTCCTGTTGGTGGTTGACGACTACTCGCGTTACACCACAGTCTTCCCCTTGCGCAGCAAGGGTGATGCCACTGAGATGCTGATCGACTAGATCCGCGCAGCTCGTTTCCAGCTCAGAGCTTTGGCTCGGACTTTCCTGTGTTGCGTCTGCACTCGCTCAGAGGCGGAGAGTTCTCCTCTGGCCTTCTGCGTGCCTACTGCCGTGCGCGAGGCATCCGACAGACCTTCACGCTTCCGGACTCACCGCAGCAGAATGGGATTGCAGAGCGCCGCATTGGCATGGTCATGGACACCGCTCGTACGTCTATGATGCATGCGGCTGCCCCCCATTTTCTGTGGCCGTTTGCGGTCAGGTACGCGGCGCATCAGATCAACCTCCACCCCAGGGTCTCCAGGCCGGAGACCTCCCCAGCCCTGCTGTGGTCGGGGAAGGTTGGCGATGCGTCGGCGTTCTGCAAATGGGGGTGCTGAGCCTGGGGGTGCTGAGCCACAGAAAATGGGGGGCAGCTGCATGCATCATAGACGTACGAGCGACGTCCATGACCATGCCAATGTAGCGCTCTGCAATCCCATTCTGCTGCGGTGTGTCCGGAATCGTGAAGGTCTGACGGATGCCTCGCGCTCGTACGTCTATGTGCTGTGCCTGGGGGTGCTGAGCCTGGGGGTGCTCCGCCTGGAGGTGCTTCGTCTCGCCGAGAGCCACTCTCCCCACAGGAGCTGCGTGAGTGGTTTGCCCGGCGCTGGAGGCGTGCTGCTGGTGCTGGAGGCTCTTCGGCTACTGAGGGTGCTGCTGTCGCGGGTCCCGGAGGTGCTCGTACTGGGTGTACTGGAGCTGCTGGGCCTGCGGGTTCGACAGGAGCAAGTGCTGCTGGGGGTGTTGGCGCTAAGCCTACCATTGGCGGTCCGGCTGGCGGTGCTCCTAGTGCTGCTGGAGGTTCTGGGGCTGCTGGAGGTGCTGCTGGAGGTGCTGCTAGAGCGGGTTCTCCTGCTGGGGGTACTGGTCCTGTCCCTGCTGTTTCTGGCGTCGCCACGCGGCCCCGACCGTACTTCGTTCCACTCCTGCAGCAGGTTCTTGGTCTTACACCTTCTCCAGGTCCTCCTCCTCCTCCCTTAGAGGGTCCACAGCCTGTCCACTCACAGTCACAGCTAGAGCCTGCCTCCCCTTTGCCTGCTCCTCTTCCCTACACTGGTCCGACTGGAGGTCTTACTGAGCGTCGTGAGCCTGCGTCTCGTCCTGCGTCGCCTGTTCGTGCTGCGCGCACTAGTGGTCGCGGTTCGCGTCAGCGTCCTCCTCCTGTCCCTGGCACGCACCGGATGTCTCTGCGTCCGTCTACTGCTCCTCTGCGTGCCCCTTTGCCTTCTCCACCTGCTTCCTCTCTTCCTGCTCTTGCCGACCCGGAGTCGGACGCTCTTCGTGCTGCCAATCCTACTGTCACGCGTCTTCTGGCTACTATTGTCACTGACCCTTCCTTTGAGTCTGCTGCTGTGTCTACCTTAGTTGCTGAGCTTGTCGACTTTGCTGCTCGCTGTCGTCTAGACTACGCTGCTCGTCTTGTCGCTGAGTCTGAGTCTGCCTGTCCTCCGTCCGTTAGGGTGAGTGTGCCCTTGGCACGGACTTCCTTGAGGACAGGCAGGAGGAGTTCCAGTGTCTGGCCGCCGCTTCACCTCATCTCGCGTTTGTACTGCTCACCCCTGAGGGAGACCCGGATGCACTAGACATCCCGACTCCGCGCTCTTACGCGGAGGCGATAGAGGGTCCCTACTCCTCTCAGTGTCAGGCAGCTATGGATGCAGAGATGGCTTCCTGGAAGTCCACAGGCACCTACGTTGACGCTGTCCCCCCTCCTGGGGCGAACATCGTTAGTGGCATGTGGATTTTCAGGGTGAAGCGGCCGCCGGGTTCTCCGACTGTCTTCAAGGCGCGTTACGTGGCTCGTGGCTTCAGTCAGGGGCAGGGAGTTGACTACTTTCAGACCTTCTCCCCCACCCCAAAGATGACCACTCTTTGGGTACTGCTGCACGTTGCTGCTCACCGTGACTACGAGCTGCACTCTCTCGACTTCACCACTGCTTTCTTGCAGGGCAGCCTGCACGAGGAGATCTGGCTACGTCGCCCACCTGGCTTCACTGGGTCTTTCCCTCCTGGTACCCAGTGGAGTCTCCGGCGTCCAGTCTACGGTCTCCGCCAGGCGCCGCGTGAGTGGCACGACACACTGAGGACTACTCTGGCGGCACTTGGGTTTGCTCCTTCCACTGCAGACCCGTCGCTGTTTGTGCGCACCGACACCTCTCTGCCGCCGTTCTACATCCTCGTGTACGTCGACGACTTGGTCTTTGCCACAGCTGACACTACTGGACTCGCCTACGTGAAGTCCGAGCTGCAGAAGAGACACACGTGCACTGACCTGGGTGAACCGCGCAGCTACCTTGGCTTGCAGATCACCCGGGACAGAGCACGCCGCACCATTACCCTGACTCAGTCACACATGGTGCAGCAGGTCCTTCAGCGCTTCCGCTTCACGTACTCCTCGCCTCAGGCCACTCCTCTGCCTACTCGCCACTCACTCTCAGCTCTGCCTTCGGATGAGTCCGTAGAGTCGAGTGGCCCGTATGCAGAGCTTGTTGGCTGCCTCATGTACCTGATGACCTGCACACAACCTGACCTTGCATACCCTCTTAGCATTCTCGCACGCTATGTTGCTCCTGGGAGACACCGACCAGAGCACATGGCTGCAGCGAAGAGGGTGTTGCGCTACTTGTGCAGTACGTCGGGCATGGGGCTAGTGCTTGGAGGGCGGAGTCCATTGGTCCTCACTGGGCACGCGGACGCTTCTTGGGCTGACGACCAGGCTACGCAGCGGTAGTCACAGGGTTACACCTTCAGTCTTGGTTCCGGCTCTGTTTCGTGGCGGGCTACCCGCTCGTCTTCTGTTCTCGGCTCTAGTTGTGAGGCTGAGATCTACGCCGGGGCTATGGCTGCCCAGGAGCTTCGCTGGCTCACCTACCTGCTGACCGACCTTGGAGAGCCGCCTCGTTCTCCTCCAGTCCTGTACGTAGACAACAAGGCCATGCTGGCCTTGTGTCTAGAGCAGCGTTTGGAGCACAGGACAATGCACATTGCTCTCCGCTACTTTCTTGCTCGTGAGCTACAGCAGCGTGGACAGTTGCGACTTGCGTACGTGGCCTCTGAGGCCAACACTGCTGATGTCTTCACCAAGGCACTTGCGCCTTGTGATCATCAGCGCTTCTGCACGCAGCTGGGCCTTGTGCCTGTCTTGCCTCACTTGCTCACTTCTTGACCTTGCTTGTACCTTCACCTATATAGACTCTTGCTCTTGCTTGCTTGACTCTTGTATATCTCTATATGTGATCTTGCATGTGAACTGGCCTTCTGGCTTTTGAACTTGTGCTCGAAATGTGTGGTGACTTTGTGATCCACCCTCAGCTTTGCTTTCCTTTGCTTGACTGGTCCTCTGACCCCTTGTTCTCCCCCACTTTGCCTATGGGGGTGTGTCAGACCATTATAGCTTACTTATTTGTGTAGGCTGTAGTGGGGTATCCCATAGGGGGTACAACCCATTTGGGTTTCCTGTTTGTACTCACTTCGTTCATAGTCATTTCATTCTCGTTCAATTCTTCTCATGCCTCTGATTCCTTGTGCGCCTCTGCCTCAACCATCTTCGACGCCGCACCCTCCTCCTTCTGCTGCGCCGCTGCCTCTGATTCCTTGTGCGCCTTTGCCTCAACCATCTGCGGCGCCGCACCCTCCTCCTTCTACTGCGCCGCTGCCTCTGATTCCTTCTGCGCCTCTGCCTCAACCATCTTCGGCGCCGCACCCTCCTCCTTCTGCTACGCCGCTGCCTCTGATTCCTTCTGCGCCTCTGTCTCAACCATCTTCAGCGCCGCACCCTCCTCCTTCTGCTGCGCCGCTGCCTCTGATTCCTTCTGTGCCTCTGCCTCAACCATCATGGCCGCCGCACCCTCATCCTTCTGCTGCGCTGCTGCCGCTGATTCCTTATGTGCGTCTGCCTCATCATTCTGCTGCGCCGCTGCCTCATCCTTCTGGCTCGCCGTTGCCTCTGATTCCTTCTGCGCCACTGCCTCCACCACCTGCAGCTCGACTGCCTCCGACGTCAGCTGTGCTGCTGCACCCGCTTCTTTACGTGCGACTGCCTCCGCACTCTTGACCGCCTCTGCACCCACCTTCTTCTGAGCCGCAGCCTCTGCTTCCTTTAGCGCCCCGTCCTCTGCCGTAAGTGCCGCCTCTGCATCGACGAACCGATGGGCCGCATCCTCTGCTTTCTAGTGCGCCTCTACCTCCGCCATCTTATGAGCCTTTGCACCTGCGTTGCTCTGCGCCTTCTTTTTCGCCTCTCCCAAATTCTCTGGCACGTCGACGTCCCCTCTCCGGGCCTCTTCAGCCGCCTTCCGCTTTACGCTGGGCAAGCGAACGTTCACGTATCCCCTGTCCTCCTCGATATGCTGCCGCAAATTTCTGGCGAGCTCCTCTCCTGCCACTCCCACATGTGCCCTTGCAGCGGCTCGCTCCCCACGCTCCCATGCTTCACGTATGTCTCCTGTTCCGGGGAAAGAGACGATAGGATCGGTGTCGCCATCGCGGCGCCGTTGCCTCTCTTCAGCCCTTCTCCTCTTGGCTTCTGCTTCGGCCATCCGCTTATCATCAGCCGCCTTCCTCCACTGCTACTCTGCCTGTTCGACCTGACTTGGCAGCTGTGGATCTTCTACACCCTCCTCGCGTTCATCTGCTACACTTGCCAAGTCGGTCTCCGTCCGTGCTTCGCGTTCCGGCGGCCTCCTAACTCGATCAGCAAACCTGAGCTGCCTAACTCCAGACCTAACACGCTCGTCCGCACGGGCTGACCTTGATGTCGGGCCACTCAGCAGTGCACCCCCTGGTGCAGGACGGCGGGAATATGAAATTTCCCCCACTCCTGGATTTGCGTCCCGGTTTGCGGCAGGTACGTCTCTCTGTCCCTCTACCGCTTCGGATCTGTTCTGTGCGGCCGGCTCCATGGTATTCCCGGACCGTTCCAGTGCGCCCTCTGTCAGAATGTTATCTTATGCTCTAGCCTGTAGTGGGGTGCTCTATAGCGAGTACAACCCTTCTAGGGTTTGCTATTTGTATCCCCATTCTTGCTAGTTCACTCTCTCTCTCTTCTTCTATTTTTAACACTCTCCACCACTCGAGCCTCATGGGTCGTCATGACTGCATCCGGGGCGGGACGGAGCTGGACTCCTTGCAGGTCGAAGAAGGCCCTGCAGGTCGACTCTAGCATACTCCGAATTTCTTTCGCGCTGTTTTTCCCCTTCCCTAAGGCGATCATCCGCTCTGCAGTTTGAATCCCCATGACATCCACCCATTTGTCCAGCAACTTGCTGAACAGATGGGTAACGTGCAGCCCGGAACCCACTTGCCTCTGTCCCTGAACGTTGTTGATCTGCAAACATGTGCGTGAAAAGGTGGTTGTCAGACACTCCCGTAACATTTACAAGCTTAATATCATACAACGCTTAAATCATAAAAATAGAGGCTCCTTACCCTGCCTTCCTCCAGAATCAGTTCCTCTAGGCGATCCCTCAAATCTTTCTGCACCGCTTCGGCGTGGCTGCCAGAGACCCTGCGACCTCGGCTGTATTCCACATGTAGTTGTCGAATAAGCCAGCTGCAGGGCAAGGGGGTCGCAAATAATCAATAACATGCGTCCATACAAACCGCACATCTGATTAAGGAGTGACACTTACTCGAACACCTCCTTGGCATGGTCGCTGTGGCGATGGGTTGGGATTGGAGATTTAGGGTCGAAGTGTAGAACACGCGTACGGTACTTTCCGCGGGGATGTGCTAACAAATCTTGCGGGTTCATCAGAACCATGAGACTGATCGCCGTCGAGTGAACAACAGGGACTCTGCGGTACATCGAAGTTTGGATTAGCAAGATAAGCTGGTGTCATCGACAGACGTTGCGGATCCATGTCAAGAAACTCACTCTGACATCATGGGTATCAAAACCATTTGGTAGTCCAACAGAGACCGATGTTCGCTGCCACAACTGGGGACACGCGGGACGGCAGACCTCAAACGCCGATGCTCGGTAGGAGCCAGAATCTTTATGTCCCTGCGAACACGAGGATCCTCGATCTTGTCCTTGGCAACCTCCCTGCATCCAAGCCGACATGTCGCAGAGGTAAGAAGATAGCAGGTGCGTGTCTAAAAATACAAGGGTTTAACGTGCCGATGAAGTCGGCGTGCGTTACAAACCGCGCTGGGATACATACACAAGGCCGAAAAGTAGCAACGCCTCGTTCCACTCTTCCTGACGAGCGATTAACATTTTATAAGACTCCCGCCCTAGTCGTACAGACAATCCGCAGCCATCTGTGATTAACTGTGACGACATCGCGTAAGTAAGCCAGAAGATGGCAGGTAGCTATACGGTTACTACCATACACTATCCGCCTGCAGGATTTGAGGCCGACACTAGAATGAGAGGGAAGCTTGTGAGGAGGCTAGTTGTGGAACCAAGACTCAGATTGGAATGGCGAGAATGACCTTGAGCTTTGGTGCACCCACCCTGAGAACAACTTCTGCTTCGCTGGTAGAATTGGTTGTGCTCTCGTCCTCATAGAAGGTGGGAAAGGCTTTGCTACAAACGCCAGGCGTAGTAAGACTTTTCTGCCCCCTGCATCAAAATATTAGGCTTCTCACCATTTCCCTTCGAACAACTGCAAACTACTCTTTGCATCCTTCTGCAGTGATTGGCCTATTTGTCGCCAGATTGTTCTCCTAAATGTTCTACTTCAGTTGCTGGTTGGTTGATTGCCAACCTTATATGCCATGTAAGCATATTGCATGTTCTGCGGTGCATTGCATGGTCTCAGCTTTGCCTCAACCTAGTACGAAATGGTGACGGGCAGCCCCTAAAAAGAAAGAAAGGTGTCCTCTGACAGGTTCATGACAAGCTGCCTAGTATAACTATCCCATCCGCATGGTTCCCTCCGCAACATGGAAAAAGAGCAGTCTCTGCGACGTGTCACACGTGTCAGAAACCGAATGACACCCTACATCCCACAGTACCGCTATAGGGGTACTCGCGTAGCACGTATAGTGCTAGTTTTTGTAACCCATAAAACAAACACAAGCATGAACTCTGCATGATTAGCACACCCAATTCTAAAACGGATAATCCTATCAGTGTGAGATGAGTGCCCTATCAATAACGGCTTATTAGCACCCGTATAACAATGGCATTTAAATACAAAACAAATGTTGTACATTTCAACAAAGTGATCTGCTCCTGCCTGCATAGAAGAGCATGAAAAACATATCAAACCTCTACAAAATGAGGCGAATTTCAGGTGGGGGTTTAGGGTTTAGGGTAGTGTAACCACTCTTGCGCCCATTTCGTTGCGCCATCAAGTGGTTTGAATTTTGTAAGGTCCAACACCCTTTTGCGCCGAATCCGAGTCAAATCCGTCTCGCCACGGGCAAAATGGAGTTTCGCCAAAAAAAATGAATCCCGGTCGAAGCGGAGGATCCGAGTGCTGCTTCCGCCTTACGCCCGCCCTTGCCCCGTCAGGTGGTTTGGATTTCTAGGGACCAAGTCACCGTGCCCTGCTTGGCAGCATTGCTGCCCACTTCATTGTTGCAGCTCCGTGATCGTTCGATCGGGATCTTGCAAAATAACGAGCGACTACGATTGTTTGGAAGAGAGGATGCAGTTTGGCGAGGGGAGTGTGAAAACTGAAAACGAGAATGAATAACTAAGGGAAAGCTGGGTACTAGTACAAATCCTAGAAAGCTGTACCCCATATGTGCTACCTCACTATAGCCTACAGCAGCTATGTCATATAAATCTGACACACCCCCATAGGCAAAGTGGGGGAGAACAAGGGGTCACAAGACCAGTCAAGCAAAGCAAAGCAAGCTCAGGGTGGATCACAAAGTCACCACACATTCCGAGCACAAGTTCAAGGCCAGAAGGCCAGTTCACATGCAAGAGTACATATATATATAAGGCTAGACAAGCAAGAGCAGGTGTATATATATATATGTAATAGTACAAACAAGGTCAAGGGGTGAGCAAATGAGGCAAGGCAGGCACAAGACCAAGCTGAGTACAGAAGCGCTGATAATCACAAGGCGCAAGTGCCTTAGTGAAGATATCAGCAGTGTTGGCCTGAGAGGCCACGTACGCAAGGCGCAGCTGACCACACTGCTGTAGCTAACGAGCAAGGAAGTAGCAAAGAGCAATGTGTTTTGTTCTGTGCTCCAGACTATGCTCCCGACACAAGGCCAGCATGGCCTTGTTGTCTACATATAGCACTGGAGGAGAACGAGGCGGCTCTCCAAGGTCAGTCAGCAGGTAGGTGAGCCAGCGAAGCTCCTGTGCAGCCATGGCTCATGCGTAGATCTCAGCCTCACAGCTAGAGCCGAGAACAGAGGACGAGCGGGTAGCCCGCCACGAAACAGAGCCGGAACCAAGGCTGAAGGTGTAACCCTGTGACTACCGCTGCGTAGCCTGGTCGTCAGCCCAAGAAGCGTCTACGTGCCCAATGAGGAGCACTGGACTCTACCCTCCAAGCACAAGCCCCAAGCCCGACATACTGCACAAGTAGCGCAACACCCTCTTCGCTGCAGCCATGTGCTCCGGTCTGTGTCTCCCACGAGCAACATAGCGTGCGAGAATGCTAAGAGGGTATGCAAGGCCAGGTCATCAAGTACATGAGGCAGCCAACAAGCTCTGGGTACGGGCCACTCGACTCTACGGACTCATCCGAAGGCAGAGCTGAGAGCGAGTGGCGAGTAGGCAGAGGAGTAGCCTGAGGCGAGGAGTACGTGAAGCCGAAGTGCTGAAGTACCTGCTGCACCATGTGTGACTGAGTCAGGGTAATGGTGCGGCGTACTCTGTCCCGGGTGATCTGCAAGCCAAGGTAGCTGCGCAATTCACCCAGGTCTGTGCACGTGCGTCTCTTTTGCAGCTCGGACTTCACGTGGGCGAGTCCAGCAATGTCAGCTGTGGCAAAGACCAAGTCGTCGACGTACACGAGGATGTAGAACCGCGGCAAAGAAGTGTCGGTGCGCAGAAACAGCGATGGGTCGGCAGTAGAGGGAGCAAACCCAAGAGTCGCAAGTGTAGTCCTCAGCGTGTCGTGCTTGGCAGAGACCGTAGACTCGCCGCCGGAGGCTCCACTGGGTGCTAGGAGGAAAAGACCCAGTGAAGCCAGGTGGGCAACGCAGCCAGATCTCCTTGTGCAGGCTGCCCTGCAAGAAAGCAGTGCTGAAGTCAAGAGAGTGCAGCTCGTAGTCACGGTGAGCAGCTATGTGCAGCAGCACCCGAAGAGTGGTCATCTTCAGGGTGGGAGAGAAGGTCTGAAAGTAGCCAACTCCCTGCCGTTGACTGAAGCCACGAGCCACGAACCGCGCCTTGAAGACAGGCGGAGAACCCAGCGGCCGCTTCACCCTGAAAATCCACATGCCACTGACGATGTTCGCCCCAGGCGGGGGAACCTCGTCAACGTAGGTGCCTGTGGACTTCCAGGAAGCCATCTCTGTGTCCATAGCTACCTGCCACTGAGAGGAGTAGGGACCCTCTATCGCCCCCGCGTAAGAGCGCGAAGTCGGGATGTCAAGTGCATCCGGGTCTCCCTCA